ATAACTATTTATATAATTATTCTTTATATAAATTAATCATAATACCTCTTGGATTTTGTGTTGTGCCATAGTTAAAACTTGTTACAGTATTTGAGACACTATCATAATACTGCAAACATCCATTTGGAGCTATAAAAAGAATTCTTTATCAATTGGTATATTTTGATATTATATTATTTTATTTTATTTTAAATATTAGATGATTCTTCACTAATTTTATATAATTTAAAAAATATATATTTTCTTAATATTATTACAATTTTAAAAAATATATATATTTATTTTTTAAAATATAAAAAAATTATAAGTTTTATAAATAAAATTATTACTATTTTTTTATATAATATAATACAAGCAAATTTATAAATTTTATTAATTATGAAATATATTTAATAAAAAAGGATATAATATGCATGCCTTTATATGTAGAATCACAAGGTAATTGTTGAATTCTTATATTCCAACGATCTTTATATTTAGAGTTAGTATCAACTGATATCATAATGGGTGTGTCACCATTGAAATCTATATATACTGAAAAATTTAAATCAATATTTTAAATTAATTGTATCATTTAATAATAAATATATTATACAATTAAATATTTAATATAATCATTATAATATATTCATTTATAATTATATAGTTATATAATTAATTTTTATATTTATATTTAATTATTATTAATTTTTATAAGTTTATATTTAATTATTTTTAGTAGTTTTATTTATTACAATGTTGGTTTGCATTTTCTCCACAAATTCGAGGTACTATACTTCCAGATCCAGAAACTAAAAGAAACTCAAAATCACAAATTCCGCTAGCATTTGGTGAAGCAAGAGTAAATTCCAAGAAATCCAAACGTAGCTAAAATCAATTTGACATTATAAATTGATATTATTTTATGATATTATAAGTTATATAAATATAATGAAAATCAGAAAATAAGAATATATATTACACGTTAAATTAATTTTATAATTATATTTACTATATTTCATCATATATTTTGTCAACATTTCTATTCAGTTCAATAATATAATAAATTTCAAAAATAATTTTTATCAAATAATAATATAAATTTAAAGTTTTAAATATATTTTATTAACTTACTTGACAGATATTTGAATTACAACGTTGTACTGTTATTGTACATCGACCTTGTCCTTCATAAGTTGTTGGATATTCTGAATTTGTAAAATATGTATTATTTACATTTGTTGTGGAACTACACGTTTTTTGAACTGTAGACATAAAATTCAAGTACTTATTAAATCTTATAAATATAAAAAAAAATTAATTAAATTCTTAAATTACTTACAAACACAACAAATGCCATGTCCATTTGCACAGGTACCAGATGGTGTTCCACCATAATCACGACATTCTCTTCTAGTAAAACAGGTACCATTTAAATTGTTGCTAGCAAGGCATTGTGAGTTTGCAAAACGAATAACACTGAATAGCGGGAAAACTGTTTAAAATTCATTTAATAATTTGATATTATTTTTATATATGAATATTTATATTACAATAGCAAAAATTAAAATATAATTCTTAATAATTTATTAAATTATATAGTTTTATATAATTTTTATTATTTTTTCAATTTCTTTAATATTATTTATAAATACAATATAATATTTTAGAAATAATACTTATTTTTCTATTACTTACATCTTCCACGAGTCATTGAATTTTGAATTTCAATAATATTATCATTATCTAATCGACAATTAACGTAATTTCCAAAAAAAAAAATTGTGAACCAAACTATACGGAACATCTTTCAAATTATAACTGTTCAAAATACATACAATTCTACTTTAAATTTTGTACAACGGTATCCAAGAAATTAGAACAATTAGCATGTAAATGAAAAGTAACTTACTATCTGCTTATGTTTACATAACTGGATTGTTAAAATATTCATTACATATAAAATTCGATTCAAGACATAATATAAATTATTTAAATATATTTTACACTTTATTAATTAGCTAATTTATTAAATTCAGATAATTTTAATAAAATCAAAGCAAATTTCTATAAATAAGTTTTATTAAATGTTTAGAATAATGAATATAAAAATAAGAAAGAAAAAAAGAAATAAAATATATTAATATCGATTTAAATTGAATCACGATAATTTTTTACAATAAAAATA